CTCTCTCACAGCGACGTCCAGGCTGCAGCGCTTGGGCAAGAAATGTAAGCACGGGATCTCACTTCTGCCATTCCAGTCTCTCACCCCTGGCAGGGTGACCACAGCTGCAATGGCCTTTCTCTGCCCTGCCTTGGCCTGAGTGCAGGACTCTGATGGTGGGGATGGACAGGGAGCAGGAAAGGACTCACAGTTCCGAGCACTGAGTTCCAGAAGGCTCCAAGGCCCCCTGCGGAACAGGCAGGGCTCGCGGCACAGCGCAGGGCTGGGGCTGGGACCCGGCTCTCAGATCTTTGTGTTGGCACAGAAGTAGCACAACTGCGTGGAATGGGTAATGCCAAAGGCATCTTTAGGGCCAGGAAGGGATTCCGAGATCCTCATATCCAAGTTGGGAATCAGCAGCCCCCAGAAGCCCACGCGGTCCCCGCTCAGCACACGCTGCAACACCCACGAGTTCCTGCTGCCAAAGGGATCTGGAACAAGCTAAAGATACACCAGGGGCCCTCCCAAGCTCTTCACTTACCCACTCCCAGCAGCTTCATCAGCTGCAAGGACTGGTGCAACTGCAAGTGGAAGAGGGGAGAAAGCAAGGCAACCTGGCCCAGAAAAAGGGATGTATGACCCAATCCCTGGGAATGAGGGAAAGCTCCACCAAGGTGCAGCACTATTACAGGGAGCTGCACGAGGCTGTTTCTCCTGGCCAAGTACCCGACCTACACTGACAAGCACCACAGTGTTACACCCTCCCAGGCTGCTCCACGGGTCTGTTCTCTAGCAGGTTTTTTTAATTCTGTTTCTAAAGCCCATCTTACTTACCCAAAAAGGTGGCTCCATACTGTCCTGAGGACAGTTTGCCAAACTCACAGCCTGATATCCCCAAATTTCTGTGGTGCACATCTGTTACACGTCTGCCCAGAGCAGCAGCTCCAGCTCTGCGCTCTCCTCAGCAAACAGGTCTCGTTTCCTGTGCTGGTTTTCCTCTCTGGCAACACCTATGCTGGTGTTACTTCAGCCAACTCCTTTCTCATTTCTCCTCTGCTTCCTTCTCATCCTTCTTTCTGATATTCCCAGAGTTTCTCCTCAGCTGCAGTTCTCCAGGGCTCCTGTTACAGCGAGACACACTTGTGGTCTCCTTCTCCTGCATTCAGACCTGCCCCCAAGCCCCAGCCCCACTGTTCCTCTGCTGACACCAGCTTTCATCTCTTCACAGCAGCAGGACTGCACTGCATTTCCTCTGGGAGCCATGTCCTGTGTGCTGTTGGATGCCTGGTACTCCACAAGCTCACACGCTTCAACACGTGTACCAGAAGAGAACGTCACAAAGCAGCTGTTAGAGGCAGCAGGGGATAAACCTTTCCAATGCAATTAAATAAAAGTAATTTTGGCAGGGATTTCCACTGCAGTGGTGGTATATGAAATAAGCTGGGGCAGTGGACTCGTGGATAAACAGCCTTTGTCCCTGAGAACAAGGAACTGCTGTGGCTGCACCCACTGGTTAAAGAAAAAAGACAATGAGAAGAAGCTACTTTCAAACGAGACCATGAAGAGGCAAAGGCAGCTCACTGATTTTATTTTAAAGCATTAGATGTGCTTCTGTGAATAATGACAGGCTGGTAAACACAACCACACACAGCCAGCAGCCGATGCCCAGGCAGCTGACAGGGCCCCAGCCCAGAGCAGGGGCTGATCCCCGGGGGGCTCACAGGGAGCCCCTGACGTTGGGTTCCAAACACTCTTCCTGAGAACCAGGGAGAGTGCCTGCCTGGAAGCAGCAAGAAGTGAAAGCACCTAATCTATTTGCTTTTCCAAGCTAAATATAGGACAAAGGAGTGAAAGGCACAGATGGTGAAAGCTCCGCAACTTTTGAGATTCTCTTGCTCTAGGAATTTAAGCTGCTAAAGCACACACAGGCTGAGCCTTCCCAAATACCTTCACAAGGGAGCAAAGCCCAGCTGTACCATCGCCACCGGCCACCGGGTCACACACGTGACACGGGATCACACCTCATTCACAGTTCCCTGATCCCGCTGCCCCTCTCCTGACTGCTCCTTGCAAATCTCCACGGAGAGAAGGAACAAAAGCGCACCCCGTGGGGAATCGACTTCAAATGGAGACACAACAAGAGGAACAATGAATTATTTCATATGCAAATGTGAGCACAAAATAAAGGTAGATTAATGATTCAGTAGCAAAATTCTTCCAGGCAAATGAGCATGGCTGAAAGAAAACCCAAAGGGAGGGTGAAGCCGAGGTATTTAGAGGAAACAAAACCAGCACGGAAAAAACTTCATCTTTTTATACACCATTAAGCTGGTTTTGAACTGCATTTCTGCAAAACATCCACAGTCCTTGTGCAAGAGAGGGGCAGGATCAGACCAAGCACCCAAAAGCCAAAGTTCAGTAGGTAAACAGGCAGAGCTGCAGAATGTTTTGGGACTCTTTGTCCTCCTTGGAACGGCCCAAAGGAGACACAGGTGAACATTATCAGGCCCGATTGGAGGGGAAAAGGGGCACTTTGGGGCAGGAAAGTGCTGTAACAGTGCAAGGTAAGGGAGACCAACAATCAAAATTAAGGAAAAGCACCAGCAAAAGTGTATTTATGTACAGAAAGAGAATTGTCCATGAGAACAACACACGCAGGAGCAGCATCCAGGGATAAAGCCCAGCTCTGTTCTATCCTCCATTACAAACTGCTCTCACCCACCTCTCCATGGTATAAACACTTCTGTGCCTCCTGACCAGGAGGATGAATCTGCACTGAGTGTGACACGCCGGTGTGAGGTGGAATGAGACAAAACTCGGAGGTGTGGGATGTCCAAATCCCAAACCCAATGCAGAATTCCATTTAAACCAGCACCCAGAGCAACTCCATCACTCTCTGTCCAGGACAGTGCCAAGGGAGCTGGAGCACCGAGCACACAGACCCTGCACTGAGCCCATAGTGTGTAGGGACAGTGTGGGGCTCCAGGCACCCCCAGGACTCAGCTCCAGCCCCAGAGGGTCGGGATTCGCGAGTCTCGCTCCAGCCCTGAAGCCACAGAGCCCGCACGGGTCACTCCGGGCCCCTCGCTCTGCACCCGAGCGTCTCCAGCAGCAGGGACGGGAAGGACCTGCCCGGCCGCAGCTCGGAGAGGAGACGCAGAGAGCGGTGCCCTCACCTGCCCCTCCGACACGGCTCCCGCCCGTCCGTGACACCGATCCCGCAGAGCGGCGGGACGAGCCCGCGGCCGGGAGACAACACGGGCCTTTTGTCCCAGGGCAGGGGAGAGAAGGCCCGGCCCGAGCAGGGGCTGCGGCCGCGGGTCCACCGACCGAACGCGAGCGGCCCCCGAGCGCCGGTGCGGCCCCGCCCGGGCTCTGCCGGGGCTGATCCCGCTCCCCGCCCGCCTCCCGAACCTCCATCGCCCTGCCCCGTTCAGGGCCGGCACCGGGCACCGAGAACCGACACCAGGCAACCGGCGCTGGGCACCGGCACTGGGCACCGGGAACCGACATCAGGAACCGACGCCGGGAACCGACACCGGGAACCGACACCGTGCGCCGGGCCAGGCCCACTGCCCGGCACCCCCGAGCCCCGGACAGCCCCAGGCCCGGCGGCTCCGCAGCCCCCCGGACCCTCAGCCCCCTCCGGGAGCTCCCCAGGCCGCTGCCCGGCGGTCCCCAAACCCCCGCCCAGGCCCGGCCCTCGCCCCCCGCAGACCCCCGGGAGAAGGAGGAGAAGGAGGAGGAGGAAGAGGAGGGTGGGGAGCGGGAACCTCACCGGGAGAGGTGCTTCAGGATCTGCTTCTTGATGATGCCCGCCATGCCGGGCCGGCGGGTCAGGCCCGCGGGCGGCGGGACCCCATCGCGCACCGCCCGCCCCGCACGGCCCGCCCCCGTCGGCACCGCCCGCCCCGCA